AGCTTTATCATAAAGATTTGGATGCGCTGAATCTGTTCCCGAAGGCCAATTTTTTTATCACGTTTAGATTTTTGGGTATCAATTTTTTCCAAATATCATAAATTTAGGTTTTTTTATTCGTTTTATGCGTTAACATTATAAATTTTTCTGCCACCACTTCATATAAAGTTGGGACACATGAAAAACTTGGTGAAAGCTATGAAAAAGGATGGTAGCCTGCACCAATCAATTTCAATATCTCAAAACAAAATTTCTTCGAATCAATGACGCGAAATTGAAAGAAGAATTTTTTGTAGGTCCGCAAAGAAAAGCAAAGTCCTGAAAGAAAAGCTTTCTGCATAAGCAGAAAGAAGCTTTAGCATGCAATATGTCACTCAAAATTCATTTTTTGAACTCGTATTTAGATTTCTTTCCCGAAAATCTCGGTGCCGTTTCAGATGTGCATGGTGAAACGTTTCATCACAATATTACGCATACTGAAAGACGCTACAATGAAAAATGATCAGATGCTGATTTTTCTTGGTCGATTTTCCATCAAACTTCTATGGAAACGATGAAAACAAAAAAATTTCAAAATAACTTGAATTATACTACCATAATTAGATAAAAATAGTGATATTTCTATCACTTATGACGGTAAAATTAACATTTTTCGCTGTAAAACTTAGACGTGTAAAAATGATTATTACCTACTTTAATAATATAATGTTTTAATTAAATGGACATTATATTTAAAATCTATGTGCTATATTTACTAGAGTGTTAAATTCCGTGCTTAAAGCACCAACTATGATGTTATCATGCATGAAAACAATGAGTAGGAAAAAAGCATTTTTGTCTATTATCTACTAATTTTGGATAAACTCAAAATTCCCACAAGAATACTCAATAATTATACTATCGTTTCATTACTCTGTAAGCATTTCTTGCCATATATAGTTGCATCTTAGCGGTTATTATATATTTAATTAGTAATGTAACGCAATATATGGTCTTAACAGATTTCCTTTCAGCTATGGGAAGCACGCTGAAAGCCTACGCATTACATCTCAAAAAACTCCTAAAGTTATAGCTAAGTTCTATTTGGAAAAATCCTGATGATGGAGTAGCTCTTAAATCTCATTTATTTTATAATGCTGCAAGATATTAATGATCCTTAGTAATGTTACCTCCTCATTCTGCTATAAATGCACTAAGTGATTATGATAATGATGTTACTATTATCCTTCGCTCCTAGCTTGTTGAAAATGTTAACTGTTTACAATTTTTTTAGTCAGCCAGCAGAGTGTTCTGTATTTCCTTCTTGAGAAAATACCAACGAAACATTTCGAATATTTTCAGCCTGACTTTTACCAACCTCGTGGGTGCTTCTAACGGCTAGTTTTGAAGACATCTAATTTATGCCATCGCATTATCATTATTATACGGAATGATTAATAGCAAATGTTAGATTTGACACTTACTGCTGTAACTGCCGATTTCAAAATTACCTATGGGCGTTTAATATTTCATTTCGAAGATTGTGTTGGAGATGGCTGGACTTGTAGATAGACCTAATGATATGTGAAGCCATTCAACCGGGTGGTCCAGTTTTTGTCAGTGTTTTCCTCATGAAACGGCGACATATTTATATAAACTTTGTGTTTAGTATGTCCTTAAACTTTGTGCTTTTTTAATTAAAAAAAGAAGATATTTTGCCTGTTAACTTTATTTCGTTAAATTTTATTTCTATATTAGTTGCATAGAAAAAAGCCTCTTTGATCTTTAGTTAAAGTTAACAAAACTAGGGTGGCTCAAACTCGTATTCGGAATGGCAATCCAACCATGTCAAAAAAAAATAGGGGTTTGCATTTAAAATAGGAAAGTTAGGTATTAGTTTTCATACACCCTGTACAGTTTGAGGGGTAACTATATTTTACGTGGTTTCGGCGCGACTGGTTATGACCGGAATCAAAGTTTCTAAAACAATTGCAAGTTGAAAAACTTCTAATGCACGGTCTACGTAAATCACCCTATACATTTTGTTTGTGTCATATTCTTCATAAAATAATTTTTTTAACTGTTTTACTTTCAATGTACTTTTTAATTAATATATTTTTTTATTTCGTGTTGTTTGAGGATGTCGCGATTGGGATAGAGAAGAAAAAGGGGGCTTTTCCGGATTTAGGTAGTTTTTCTTAAGAATGTCTGTTACATATAAATTTCATCTTGAGCTGCGGCTTTTCCTCTTCTGATTTAGCTATTTCGTGTTTCTTCCAGTCTTGATTGCCTTTCATATGTGTAAATTCTTTATTTTCTATTATTTATCATCTTACTTGCGGTTTGCCGACCTAGTTTCATCTACAGCAGCTCTAATATGACGTTGAGTTACTATCTAATGTAACAGTCCATGTGTTGGTCTCAAATTGAGATAAATGTGTGATGTCAGGTCTTTTTAGAGCAAATTAATTCATCACTGTCATTTTTCAGTATAATACTCTTATAAAGCGAGCTAGATGTTCATAAAAGGTACAAACAAAAATGTTAAATCCATGCCAGAACGTCATCAATTTCCTGCAAAGGAAAAAGCTTTTTAGCAGTCTCATTAAAACCGATGTTTTCATTTAATGGAACACATTGAGTGTCTCACCTTCAAAACTAACAAGCAGAGAAACCAGCCTGGAACTACAATTTAAAATGAAAATAAAAAGCCATCTGTAACAATCGGTCGGCGCGAAAAAAAACTTTAATAAATCATCAATTTTACGACAGCGTTATTACTTTGAAACACAGCAGATAATAATTTTTGCATAAATTGGTCTCACATCTCGTACATGGATATAACCGTAGAATTGTAACGGCTAATTTTTTGAGGAATCAGGAAATCATTATCAACAACACCGACTATTATTCTTTAATAAGTTGCTCCTTTAATGTGCTGGAAATACGCCGGAACTTTTAACAAAAAGCGGATGCGGATTTAATAAGTCAAGTTATTGCTGGTCTGTTTCTGTTATTTTCTATTAATGTACTATTTTTCCACGGTGGACTTTCGTACTGAAAACTTTAATTAGTTCGAGTACTAATATCAATTTAGTACTGGAAGTTTCAATGCGTGGCTCATGGGCGAAACTACATTAACGCGCTGGGTGCAGCGGAAAATCGGTATTAGAATTATTTTTACTGTTTATACTTTTCGAGGGTTTTGAACACTTGCGTTAGAGTCAAATTTGATTTGGTCGCTTGGAAATCTCTATGCTGTAATTTCCGAATAATTATTTTAATGAGCAGCGTTTGATTTAACTGATTATTTTTATTAAAAAGGCATTTTTTGCTAACGCCAGTCTTGTCTTTTTATCTTTAATTTGTGCACGGATTAGGCAAGCTTTGAAATATCCAAGACCGGTATTGCCATCTAGACAAGTTACTGCAATGCATGGCACCATTGCAGTGGTACTCGATGCATTCGCAAATCTAGATGGTAGCTTACAAGATCCACTTACTTTATGCTGTACAGATGGCATTTGGGTTACTTGCCGAATATATATTATATTTACCGGTACGCTTTTAATGGATTTAAATCAACTTTTGTTTCATGTTAAAGTTTTCCCTACCAAAATTAAATTCTTCCCAATGGGAAATCTAAAAGCAAAAACCAACATGGCCAAAATGCTTTTGCCCAAAGAGCAAACCAAAATCTTTGACCAAGTTACATAAAGTTTACAAATTTAATACAAAGTAGTAGAACAATATGAAATAGAAATTACAAGGACGCAAACCCATCATAACGCCTCAAATCCCGCAGAGAAAAATGTGTTTCCTGTTCGCGAGTCTGGCTTACTTACATCTATTAAAACATGTTTGGCACTTCAGAATCCTCTTACCTTACCTTATCTACCATTCTTTCACACTTACATACTATACATTGGATAGTCCATTCCCAATCGGTCAGACTTGGATTGCCATCACCGCCTCACTCACTCAATTTGAGGATAAGCACTCGCGTACATATACTCAACCCTGTCCCTCTTACAATGTCTGCACCAAAATATAACATTATATAATCCATTATTCAGAAAAACTGTCCTGTTCTTATAATACTCTTATCCTATGTTTGACCATTGAATTTTTGTGATCTTAGTGACATCTTTATAAGGATCTGATGAGATTTATACTTATAAATATCATCAGCGTGAAATTATGCAATCCATTGTCAGGATGTTTAACAGACACTACCCGTGATCTTCCAAGACGAAAGGAAACGGAATTTCGGGGGCATTCGGTGTCATATTCCAAGAAGGGTTTTAAAGCCTTGGATATGATATGATCCGTTTTCTTTGAGTGTGGTAAAAGTCCATTTTGACAAAAAAATAAGTAATGATAAAAATGAATACAATTTACTGTACTTAAATATTTTCCAAAAAAAAATATTTTAAAATTTTAATTCTTTTGATCATCACAAATTTTTGTAGTTTGTTTAATAGATTATCGGATAATTATAAAGCAAATGAATAAATCACTGCTATCGAACAACTCAAATGTATTACATTTCAAATTATCTTATTAACTACTCGAATAATTCGATAGCTTTAATTCGATGGTTTCCATCGCTGAAAACATCGCATTCAAATAATTCGAAGGAATTACCACTATCGAATAATTCCATAGTTTTCATTCGATAGTTCCCATCACTAATATATTATGATGGAGGTTACATGATTCAGTAGTATGAATGTATAAAGTACAGCTTTTCAGTAGGGAATTTAGCTTTAAAATAACTTTCGTTATTACAATTCAGTTCTCATCTCGTTGTCTTCAATTCTAGATTATTTCACGATTATTTCTAGATATAAAGAGTTTGATGATACAAGGTGATGTCCCATATTTCATCAAGCGAATGTATGACTTTTATGTTTCTCTCTGTTTTTTTAGTTCTTGCTTCAAACTCACCGAGTTTTTATAGAACCAAGATCGGATGGCTTGTGCAGTAAATGTTGCTTAAATTGAATAAAACACCAAACTTAAGTTAGCTCTTAATTTTTATTTTGTACATTGTTGTCCCTATGATATAATGTTACATTAAAAAACTCTAACGCTACGTCAAATATATTTAACAATTTTTCACATGTACTCTGCCTCTCCTTGGAAGATATACAGTGCCAAAAAAGTGCTTAATATCCCTCGTTTTATGTACAGGAACACCTAAAACTAGTCAACAAACTCAAATATAGTTCTGGCCGAATAACGACTGGATTGTTTATTCTGAATTTGTAAACAATTAATATCTAACATAGTTTTTATACAATCTGGATTGTGAGTTAAAATTCGAGTTTGCTCGCAACTTAGATGAATTCATAGAATTACAGGTAGATGTTTGCGATTTACATATAATATCTATAGTGGCGATATATTTACAAGTATATACGCTAAAACATACAAGACTTAAAGCTTCTAAATCAAACGCCTATTTACAGCAATTTAAGCAGTTTTCTTAAAATAAATACGTAATAATATAAAAATAAATACAAAAATAAAATATTTCTTCAAGTCTTAGCAACGGAATGTACATTGATTTATCTGAGTGACATTGCAAAGTATCTGAGCAATTCAACAATGAATGTGGTATGAACATCTAAAGACGTTCAACCAGAGTTCATTTCATCGAATCACAAACAAATTTCCAGTGGTTATTTGCTACGCAGAATGTGTGCATTTTGAGCAATAAAAATATAGTTATTGTATTAAATCGATATGCGAGACAAATTTTGATGTGTTAACAAGCAAGTTGTAACAGCAAATGTCGAGTCAATGAAATGATCGAAACCTCCAACGTCCTCTAGCGTGGTACTACGAAGGAAGACAGTACCCACTGTAGGTTTTAATAATATCTTCAGTAAAACTTTTAACAGATATTACTCCATAGTCAGTATGGTGGTGCGGACATCGGTGGGCATGAGGGCATTGGCACAGGGTGTTTACATTCACTTCGTCCAAGAATTCTTGACGTTTGCGGACGGTAAACAAGCGGCAAGGTGCCTTTCGCTGGCATCTCAGCCTCTGTACAAGAACAATCATTAGTACAGAGTCGGTGCTCCCAAAACGTATTCAATCTCAAATTCCGAATCCCAATAAAAATTGTTTGCTTTCCGTTGAACTGCTCCACCCCAAAAAATCGTTCAAATTTCCTTTTAGAATGAGTTAGTATTGGTACCATCAGTCATTAATGGCATTTACATGCTGTCTGAATTTGATACTGTAAACTATGAATCCTGAGCATGTTAAAGACATGTAAATGGTAATATGGGGTTTTGCTACTAGCTCATTGATATTCCATTGCCATGCATTGCAAAAACGAGTTCAGTGAATTAACAAATCGTCAAGAACCAACAATGCCTTATTGCAGGAAAAGGCATTTTCAGCGAGGAATGTGTGATTTTTCTTTATCGCCGATTCCATAGATTGTACAACGAAATCCTCTGTACTTAGTAAACTGTAGTTCGAACTTACCGTTGCTGGAGAGCACGAAAATTGGTACTGAAATGCCAGTTGGTTATTTGGCAAATGTAGTGCGTTTCTTCGGTTTAAGTACGTTATGGCGTTCTTTGGGCAATGACAGTGGATCACTTGGTCGGTGACATTGTTCGGATACAATGTAATTGTCCATGTCGTATCTCGAAAGTACCTGAAAAAGTTGTTATGGTTAGCCAATTATTTCTGTAGAAAGACCTCTTAGTACATTCTGTACAATAAACTATTGACTAATCGTAAATGTTGTTGAAAGTTGCAGGCTCTTGGTTTAAACACCGTGAGTGAGTATCTTCATTGAAAGAATTTCTGTATTTGATGTAATTTTAACTTGCAACAAAATGAAATGTGGAGCTTCCTACTTCATCAAACCGCATACGTTTTCATATTTCAAAGGGAGCTAATAAATCACCTGGTGTCTGGAAGATGTTGGTTTTGAAGTGTTAAACAAGAGGAAACTAGTGTCGGGATGAATCGAGTTGAATATTTCGGTATAATACATTTCGTATCGAAGGACAAGTTATATAGGCCTTTATAGATATCCAAACGAGATGCAATCAGATGTTTAATAGAAGATCGGGGCAGAAAGACCGATTGGGTCGATAGCCTTTTTCTATAGGAAATAAAGATTATTTATATAGATAAGATCAGTCCTTTGAGATACAGTGTGCTGGGGTGACGAGTAAACATAAAAGTTGAAAAGGATTTTATTGATATCAAACTGAGATTCAAAACAAGGTCTTTATCGGCATGAGATATTTCCATTTTCGTGTTTTACTGGAGACTGCAATTAACGTGATGCGATAGAAGAGGTCAACGAAACTTGCTAATATCACCAATGTATTACATCGTCATCACAAATTATTTCTGCGAAATATTTCCTATTCGAATAACATAAAATGTATCTTTAACCTCGATTGACAAATCATCGCAAAAATTGACTTTTTACACACATTAAGAAAATTGGATTAAATTGATATCGATTTCTTAGATTGAACGATATGAGAATAAATGAGAAGGAGGATGCTGAGTGTTGTGACACCCTCAAAAAGTATGTCAATCTTGTTTGGTTTTAACAAAAAGTAACTTTATTATTTTAGTAATTATCATTATGATTATGATATTTATTTTGAATAAGAACAATTAAGTTCTAAAAATGCACATTTCCTCATTTATTAAACATAGCTGGAATACGTAACGAAAATACGTACGAAAACCATCACCCGATGAGTTTTATTGTATGGTTTAGCTTAAAATTTTCAGTGTTCAATAGGAGCATGTTGAATGGAAACTATAACAAAGTTTCAAATTTTCAAAAATTGCTAATCTTGATAAAGTTTTAAATTCAAGTAGAAAAACTACTACTAACTAAAATTTTGGCTCAAAGAGAATTACCAGATATCCAACCGTGACGAGCCCAATGTTAAATTTTTTTTATATTTTTTATGCCGGTTAAACTACGCACCTTTCCCCGGTTTATTTAAAAACGACAGAACTACAGTATGAATTTGGTTTTACTGATTTGCACCAATTTATTGTGCGAACAAATATCCAAGTGTAAGTCGATGACGGCCAAGAATAATTGGCCATTAAAGCGAGGAAAATACCGGTATTAGCGATGTTTTTCATAGAGCCGTATAGGGTGTTTTCCATAAACTTTTATAATGAATATCTATCGGCGACAAAGGTATTTTTTTAATCGGGAATATTGAAAACAATTTTGCAGCGCGTTTTACTTTATAAGTAAAAAAGTTTATTTTTAAGAGCCTGGCCCTAGGTAAGAACCAATTCGATAGATTGTTCCCGATAATTGGTTAACTAAAAAAAATCGCTATAAAAGCTATTTTGCAAAAAAATTCAATGCCTTCGTCCTCGAACAGTTTTTAAAGAGTTTCACTATTTGAAGCGACCTTAACATTAAAAGTAAAATCATATCGCTACAACGATTGAAGACATCTGGCTATAGTCCAGTCAGATTAGACTTTAAAAGTAAATAGATGAAGGCAAAAGATTATTGGAAGTTGTTCGGAAGGATGTCAGAATATTGGAACAAATGCTTGAGCGCGATGTCCGGCTGTGGAACATTGTTTAAATAATTAAAGAAAGTGCGCAGAACCGTTTTTTGAGTATAACTTTGGAACCGTTGATGCTATTGATAAAAAGTTTAACAGTTTTTTTTTCAAGTATTAAAATTACCTCCAATATAAAACAAATTAAATTAAAATCCGTTCATTTGTTTACTCAAAAAATCGAACTACAACTTTTTTTGAAGATCTTTGTACACTGTATAAGTGGTATTAATTTTAGCTTAAAATATTCATATTTTGTTGTTGATTCTTATTTGTTAATAAAAACGGCTTTTGCCAGATTCGAAATAAGTTTTTTTTGAGACGTCGGAGCGACTTCTCTGAGAGTCTATTTTACTCGTAAAGAGTTATACTACAACTAAAAATTGAAACGTAAATGTAAAGAGTTATACTACAACTTGAAATATTGTAAGCTGAAATGTATACCACTTATAAAGTATACAAGGACCTTCTAACAAAGTGACAGTGATATTTTTTTGAAGCAAAACTAAATTATTTATAGAAAATTAAAAAAAGAAAGCTAAAATCGGCGGTGGTTTTTTTCGTTTCTTGAGTTAACCAATGAACAGGTTTTAATTTAGTTTATCTCATATTGTAGGTGTTTTTAATACTTGAATATAAGTATTAAACTTTTTTAAAAAACATCAACGGTTCTGAAGTTGTGCACAGAAAACGGTTTTTCGCACTTTCTTTATTTATCTAACAATGTTTCACAGCCAGACATGGCGCTCCATTGTCCCAATATTCTGACATCCTTCCAAACCTCCAATAATCTTTTACCTTCATCTATTTAGTGCCCGGAAAAAATCTGATCCGACTGGACTACTAGATCTATGGGCCATTTCCAGTAAAAATGTTCATCATTTTGTCATTTTTAGTAATTTTGTACACTTCCTACCAAACACTTCAATCGGTATACTTCAACACAAAGTTTCTTCTTATGTAGATAGGAGACAGGCAAACAATTCGATATCAAAATAGAGAAGAATCAGACATTTTTGTTTATAAACCAGAAAATATATACTGAATGCAAAGTAATTATTAATTAATCTCTCGATTATTCCGGTCACTAATGGAAGCCCTTTATCTGCAAACCAAACACTTACTTGCACTTTGGTAGCTTCTTGATATTCTCACAGACTTTGTACTGTCGCGTTTTCTCCGAAAAAGTGTGTCCATCATCCGTCGAAATGTCCATGCTGCAAGTTCTTCCATTAGGGCATCTGCATTGTTTTTCCACCCAGGGCGTATCGTACAAGTCGACCTTATTGCAAACCGATCTGGTGTAACATTCCGGAAGATCCTCCTCGGAAGTCTAGAGAAGTAAAATCGGAAGTGAGCAATAAGTAACAGCACATCTGGATTGTTGTGGTATATCATAGGTAGTCCAGTCCTGTATTAACCGCGAATGTGGGCGTTATTTGGTACAGCAGGTGTGCATCTACCGGGGGTGCGTTCAGCCCGCACCGTAAAAAATCTGTGCTATCGTACACCTTGCGTCTGTTCTTCGAGATCGTGGGAAAATCGGAAGGTGGTTTAAAGAAACCCAATAGCCACTCGGCACCAGCCTGGCACAATGCTGGCATCCTCCTTGGCACACCTCGGACCTTTTTATACTTTTAACAGTGGCGGCGAAGCAACACCATACCCATTTAATCCATATTAAATCAAAAATTGATCCGATTAGCTTTCTTAAACTATTTTACTGAGTCCGCAGAAAAATAATGTTTTCGACATCTTTATTGACTTTTCATTCTAACCAAATAGATGCAAAACTCAGAAGAACTAATAAAGCTAATTAATTAATTAAAATAGCAAAGCCAACATAGACATCAATATTGAGCGATATATTTTCATTTATGATAAAAACTTATTATACCAAAGTTCAAATTGCTCTATTAATTAGGCCCCATCTTCACCAGTCGCTTCATTAAGATCGTAATAAACGCGGCAATTTCTCTGGAAATTGATTAAAAATGTTGGATAAATTGATCTGGACACGACATTGGCTTGGAATTTGAAGCAAACATTAAATGGGTTTTCAACAAGAACTTCATTTTTATTTAATTATGCCGTTGAGTTAGCGGTGTACTTTAAATTGCATGTAATGTGATAATTTAAACGAATCATCTATCCATGTTATTCCATAATGCAATTCGTGCATACCAACAGTTTATAAAGGACATATTGTGCATGAATTGAATTTCCACTTACTATTCGATGGCGATTTATAGAAAATTTAACAAACATTTTCAATGAAAAATTTATATTTTTCTATAATTTTCAAATCCACTGAACATTAAAATTCTTAAAGCTATGGACGGACATTAAATATCTTTTTTACTATAGTCAATTAACGACACCATTCATATCTAAAAGATTTCCGCCGTTGATAAATTGTTAATGTTTGTTGATATTTAATGCACTCCGATTCGATACCTCGTTTCCGTTAACATATTGTTATTTTATATAATTCAATCGCGCCAAGCCCATCAAGGAAATAATTCTGATGTTGTGCTTGTTCAATTCCTGTCGGTTTTTTCCACTTCCTCTTCGTATTAGGAACTTTTAGTTAACTGGTGCTATTTATCTCACAACATTTGTAGTATTTCACCTAATGCTTTGTTAATGAAGAAGGTATAAAATGTAGGCAAACAATTTATTTTCGAAGTGTTACTAAATGAAAATGCTTTTTCATTGAAAAATTTTTCTATACAATAGTTAAACACCTTTTTGCCAAACTAACATGGTTCGTGGTTTTAAAAGCCTGGTGATTAGATTGTGAATTCTAGACCACTTAGAACGCATTTTAACTAAATTTAACGGCTACATTAATACGCTTCTGTATCAATTAAGATAAATCGCTAATTAGTTTCATTTTTCTTTAAATTCCCATCTAGCATTTTATGTATGCTGTCCATTTCCGTAAAAATGGAAAAATCGATCTTCCATAAAAGACATTTTTGGCCCATTCGATGTATTTTTTGGCAATTGAAATATTAGTTTTGTTGCCAAGCGGATTTCTGCTCAATTTGCTTTATTCCGTTTTGCACTCGCAATCAATTCAATTTTGCGCAATTTTTTCATCATTATTGAAATATGTATGTCTAAATTAAATTTTTAATAATGGCGTATGAAAAATGACTGATAGGTTTTCCCCATTTCTTCGGTAGGTACTTAATTTATAAAATAACCGGTCAAATATTGCAAAATCAACTACATATCTGGATTTTTCTTGTTTCGCTAACATTTTTCGAAAATATTTAATATTTTCTTCCTAGGCTTTCATAAAAATATTCGCGAATTCAGGCAAATGTTCCCAGATACTACCTGAGCCCACTTACGAAGAACATAAGTCAGAGCTACCGAATTACGTAGAATCCATCCTATACTTGTTAAATCATCAACAACAATGAGCCAGCTCATTCTTCTTCAGCTGAAGATTTGGAGATAAACTCTTTATAAACATATAATAATTTAACTACTGGGCTTTAAAATATTCCTTCCAGCCTCGATAAACTGATAGCAGATAAAATTAACGACATCCCGTGTGTATGGGCAGGGTCGTATAACATCAAGTAATTATCTACCGAACCAGTGGCGGACTTCTATTTACCTGGTTTTCCCATTCATTCGGTTCTTGTGGCCAAATAAAATACATATCCATATTTTTTCATAATTAAATTGGAATTATACTAAAATTCTTGAGCCTTCGCCTTGGAAGATTGTAACAAAATATAATATTAAATCAGAATGTTAACTTGTAATAATTGAACGACTAAAATCCAAGACGCATCAAGCTTGAAATCGTCGTGGAAGATTGGAATAAACCAAGAAACGCAGCCTTTAAAGTCCCCGGAAATGTTCAGCTTTGGTTTAATTCAGAATTTACTTCGTTAAAAATCTATATTGTATTTAAATGACGATGAAGCGCCACTGGTATATATTTTTGTTATTGTTTTGGGATACCTTTCAGAAAACTTGCCGAGCGTGTTGTTTTTATAAGGATTTAAGAAATACTATCTGTCTAACAAGATGGTAAGCCATATCAAAAAACACACTGAATGATCAGTAAAAATGTTAATGAGCACAAGAAGTTCAGTCATGTCAGTTCGCTATGATAGTTTTTCGACGGAATTGAATAATTACGACGAAAAACGTTTGGAGGAAGCACAAAAAATACAGGAAAAGAAAGAAGATTATGCCGAACAAAAAAAATTATAATGACCAGGAGATGGTCTTCTATCAATGGTTATATTATTTTACGGAGGTCTCGACACTGCATTGAAAATAATTGCATTCTTTCATGTAACAATTTGGTTGAAGGAAGTTAAAGAACTGATGAAACTGCAACTGAGCTTTGACATATTAAAATAAGCTCCTGCAAAATCAGCATTTATGTTTAGTGTTAGAATGAAACGAATGTTTTAAACTCTAAATACTCATCACATTGTTCAAGCCGTTTACTTAGTAAGCAGTCAATGGGAAGGCGCAGGTATAATTTTGAATGTAAACCAAAGAAAGGAAGTGAGGAAAGATGGTTTGTTTTCTTTGTTCAGTTCAGTTCCGGTTTGGACCGAACTTCTTTTCTTATGTCGACGGATATCCGAGTTAATGTGATTTTCCCAGAACTGGCCACTGTTAGGACAGTAAACATCGATATTTTTGTTTTGAGAACAGGACGGGACTAATTGCATTTCAAATTATTTCCTTTCATCGTCCTGCCAACACACACATAAAAGTCTTTAATGTGATTACGAGCAATTAGCTTCTCAGAAGGATGGAATGTTTTCAGAATGTTTGCACTCTGAACTTTTCAGAATGGTCTTAACGTTTTAGAGTTTTAATAGTTTATTTCATTCATTTGATTCGAAATGTTGTGAATAAAGTTACAGGTAAATTGTTGGAAACCTCAGATAATTCTACAATACAGCTGAGTTCGGTTTAATAATTTATGGCGCTTATTTCTATAAAACTTTATACTTTTCAACTAGATGTTAATTAAATTCGCATTTTTTAATATCATATTCGAATGGCTTTCTAGAAAATTTTTTAGAAATTATAATTAAATTGAAAATTTTTATTATTTTTAAATAAGAGAACGCCTCCTTTCTTTCCCAGATAAATTACTTGTTCTCGCAAAGCGCTGTCTTCAAAGGTTTATAGTAAAAATACGAGTTTATTGTTAACGTTGTCAATAAAATGTTTGCCATTTAAAATGTGTAAATGTTTTAAAAATACAGATACATTATATTTTGATTTAACCCGACATGCCACCACGATTTTTCCCGGAGTTTGAATCACTTTCAATATAAAATGAGATGTATGTCTGGAGCTTGAAAAAAGATTATCAATCATTCTAGCGATAAAATTATTGAATTCTTCTGCATCGGGCATAGGAAGTAGAGTTCTTCGAGTAAGAGACATCTAAATGTTCTCAGAAATACTTCCAATGAGATTTAGGCTTTGACGTTAATATCCAATTTCGAAAAACGAAAAACGAAAAACTATTTTCCTGTTTGGTCATTAAGTCTCCGGACCTAATGTCTGTCCTAGGTAAGCGGTTTTTATTTGTGAAGATCTTGAAGGCTTTTCCAAGTTTTGTTTGTAATTTAGGTATATTTGTTCAATAATTTGATCAACTGATTTCAAAAATGGCACTGCATCAAATTATTTACGATAATAGTTTTTCTATATTTGAGAAAAATGTATATGAACGGTATAATTTTTTTCTTTCACTCAGTTATTTTTTTAATGATTTTTTGAACAGGAGGGCTGAGTACGGTTCAGGTACAGCCAAACTACGAGACTGCATCCTAAATTCACTTCCTCTCTATTGAGCTGAACACAATGGGTCGATTTAAGGCCCTACGATAAGTGTCTCGTCAGTTTTTATTTCCGGTACTTCCGTTCCAGCCCTTTTCGAACGACCTTTTGTTAGTCCAAAATGTAGTAAATAGTATTCAAATTTGCTAAACAAATATGATGCGATTGCCACTGTTCCTGTTAAAGTTGCTTGTGAATGGAAATTTAATTGTTAGTACGTGCACGGTTTTTCTAAATCTCAAACATGCAGAACATTGTACAATCTTTACAATCGTCCAAGAAGATGCATATTAAGAAACATGCGTTTATTAGGCCGGATATCTGAATGTATGTAAAAAAGACGCAGCCTTCAGATAAAGGAAGTTATTAGAAGAGTTATTGTACTTTCTTAGAGTAATTTGTGGGGATTAAACCTGTAGAGCAGCGGTTGCCTAATATCGCTTTAATACGTTGTGCTGTCGTATAGCCCGAGGAAAATTATAAATGTTTTACAATTATTTATCCTTGAGTTAATTTTCCGACAAGGATTAATAGTTTTTAGTGATCTAGTCAAATCAAGCTGTTCGAAAAATTCCAGATGGGTGTGATTGATTTTTCAGCGAGAACGCTTCTTCTTCTTTATATAGAGCTATACCTTATTTTACCTCCATACTAATTGCTTAGCGTTTTCAGTACGTCGTGTAAATATTTTGATCTTCTATTCAATGCTTATTCAACTTTCTACTATGATGTTCTAGTGAAGATAAAGTGATTCAAAAATTTAATATTGTGCGTGATATCACTTCATGGGATTATTGTTTCTTTGGGCAATGTTCACTGTAATTAACGCACTAATATGCGATTAATGTTCTGGCTCATTACTCGAAAAACATCAAATTATTTATAAACAGTGACGTTATACAAGTTTGAATGCGTTTCTGGATAAATATGTAATAATAGGAAAGCCGATTGCATAGCTTTTAAAGTTTAAGTGCGCTGCCTTCATTTCCGCCGTGTGGAAAAACGGAAACGGAAAAGCCTTTTTATTACACAGCAAAATAATATTAACAATTATTGTTGTTAGATGGATAGTTGATAGTACTACTTTTGATATATTCTGCATTTATTAGGCGGAAATTGCAAAATCGCTAGTTAGTAATAAATGAAGTAAATGGATTTATTAACCTAAGACGTTTGGAAGTTGTGGTAAGCGGATTCCTACACTGCAGGCTTAATTTCAATTTCCGCAGTCTGCTTTTCGCATCGATTTAATAACTATTTATATCTTGACCAGAATCAGTAAAAATTTGCATAAGTAACCTAAAACACTCCCGTTAAAAAATAATTGATAATAACCAAGAACAATAATGTATATAAATATAAAAACTTACCCCAACTTGATACAAAACCTTCATGGCATTGTACTCTTGCAGTTTTTTGCGATGTAAATTCCCATTGCTCAAGTAATTTTTGTGATTGTGATGATGATGTTCAGAAGGGTACCTTTGAAAAACTTCAAGTGGCAATCTACTGCTAACACAAAAATTGAAAAGCACTAAAACTGTGAAGCCTTCGATAAACATTGTAGTTTCTTTTTTCGTTAAATAACATTCAAAAATCAAAATTAGTTTGAAAGTCTTTGGTGCTTACGAATCGTTCAATGAATGAATTGCGTAAGATCTTGAACAGATTCTTAAAGTGCTACTTTGATCATTTCACGAAACGTACTACTATGCTCCATCCAAGACATGAATGAAATCGGATTGGGCTGTCTAGGTGGTTCTTTCGACGCTAACCATCTCGAGATGGTACCGCCAAACTCGAGAATATCTACCGTTTGGCGCTTGCTCTATAGATTTAATAAAGACCAGTTTTTCATTTTGTTGAAAGATTTTTACTTTCGCGGCCATTGTGTGAAACCGCTCAGTTAAAAAAAAGAGATGAAAAACACCAGTTTGACTTCAAAATGTTTATTATTTTCTTAAATTGTTATTAATTACTTCATTAGAATCTGCTTCGATAATAAAGTATCTTTTGGAGGACCATAAATTTACTGGAGTAATTTTTATTGGTTTCATTTGCCCTTACTTTCATCGATTTATCTTGTTTGCTGTTCCGCTTTTGTCTGTCTTCTTATAGGGGTTTTATGTCTCGCTGTTATATATTGGAGCTTGTTTGTTGCTGTTATTTTCATAAATGTTACTGAAATTTTATGTTTTTTTTTACCCTCAAAGTCGCCCAAAAGTTATTGATTTCCTGAAACTCTGATTTTTTGATGAAATTGAAAATTTTCGCAATAATGTGTTTAATTTATTTCAATAAAAATGGCCAAACATCTTTTCTCAAAATTCTACCTCTGGATTTTGTTCTAGGGTTATTCTTCCAGATTTTTATGATTTTTTAAGATCCATGAACAATGTACAATTTAAGGTTGTTTCTGAGAAAACCACGGCATACGTATGAGTGAAATAAATAAATCGGATAACTTAATTAATATTTCGTGGAATTTTTTCCGAACACCTGTTAGAAAAAAATTGCCCAGGTGCATGCGAGAGCTCACGTAGGGGCCCTAAACGTAAAGATTTATGAATGGTATAAACAGACTTGTAAAGATTTCATTCATATTTAGCGTGATTTTACTATGCTTACCGTACAACATCTGATAAGGGAATTTGCATTGGTTTTTAGAATTAATTATTATGCAGTGCCGGAATTGTTTACGAAATGCTTGGCTTTTTCATTGATATGGTTTTTCTGCTTTATAAGCCGCTTTAGTGCTTGCTGGTATCTGATGAGAATTCAATGGGAATGTTGAAAGAAAACAAGTGAAAAATATGTGAATTATAGAAAACACTTTGACGAGATAGGGAAGAATTTGATAACCGTTCTGTACTTTCAAGGGCCCACGTAGGTTTTATTTTGTATTTTTTGATGCCGCCGGTTTTGCAAAAATATCTCAAGTCGATTCTGTATTGTTGTGCAGCTTAGTTTCATAATTTTATCTTGCCTGGTAATAATGATAAACAATTTCAATTGAATCGTAATTATCAGAGAATGTTCATGTCATGCAAATGTAGATAGAATGTTGATGAAGTCATTGTCAACTCAGGTCTTGCAGCTTGTTAATTAATACTCTTGTTAGTCCTGATTATTACCGATACAATTCGTACCGAAACGTTTTAAACGGTTTTTGTTTAACCAAATTAACCAAAGCTGTGAAAGCTTCCGTTTTACGCTTGGATTGACTTAGAATTGAACATTTCTTTGGAGTATTTTAAATGGACTGCTTGCCTACAGCATTCGAATTGCATAATAGTAACCTTAATAATCGATTGCTGAATTGCCACTTTGAGGATAAATGAATAAATCCCAGCAGTTACCATTGCAGATTTCAAAATGTACGCTGTTTCTAATATGGCAGTTCCATTTCAAGTTAGACACGAAACTTGAATTTTGATGGCATGAGAACCTTTAAAGGCTTAGTAGGAAATGTTTAAAAATCTAAGTGTGTCTATTGTAACAAAGGCGTCCACTTTAACTATCTCACTTTTGGAATTGCCAACTTAAATCGAAATCTATTTGTGTCAACTTGAGAACTTTCGAAAGTGATACATGGGAGTAATAAGGACTGCAAAGAAAATACACTTTCTGTGTCAATGCTTAGTTTTTTACTTTAAGTTAGTCCTTAGTTACACTTCTGTGTCATATATAAAATATACTGTATGAGCGAGTTTTGGATGCTACGCCATTGATCAGGTAATCTTAATCAAGGCAGAGATTGGTCAGGTGTCGCCGGAAATCAGATTACTTTTAAATTTTTAAACAGACGTTCCGTAACACCTGGATTTAGTGAACGTTCGGTTATTTTTACAGCAACGGTAATAAACATTTTTTAAAAGAGTTATTTAGGTAACACTGTATACACACAATCCAAATAAATATTGTTTTGGCTTTCGATTAAATGAGATGAAAGTCGTTTTTATCTTTTAATTAAATCGTGTTCTTATGCAAACATTTAAAGAAATTAAGAATATTTCATTAATAGTTATTATGTTGTGCTGATGTTCAAGTTGGTACTTTACTTAGAACTTGGCAAAGTATGCAAAGTTATGACCGGGTGCAACATTTAAATGATAATAATGAATTTCTTTAGTTATTGCTGAATGTTGAGGTTCAAAAGCTGAGGTTGAAGAACAAAGCACAAGTGGGCTGTTATCGATTTTCGAGAAAGAAGTAATTAAGAGGATCTTTAAAATGGGCCCCAGGCCCGCCTTAAATTCAATTTCGTTTGTACCTAATTTCAAAGGAGCCAGTATCTCAGCGCGGCGTCTACTTCAGGTTCAAAACACATAAAATCCACCCATAAAAGTTTTACAAAATGTTTTTAGGAACAAAGCGTTTATTTATGGCCATTAAATTTGGCATTTTACGGAGTTTTCCAGAAACCGGCCCAGTACCCTTAAAATGCCTGTCTGAAATAGGTTGTTTTTTCTGATTAAAAGGTGAATATTTTCAAGGGATTTTTACCGATATACATATATACATTTCTGGACCTCTTGAAAATTTCTGGACCTCATGAAATTCGAACCTCTCGTTATTTCTTGCAATATTTCGAAGATTCCAATGATTAAACACTAGCACAAGTTATTGGCATTTATTTAATGACGCACTTTGACTTAGAGCATACAATATGAATCGTCCACACAACTTAAAAGAATATGAAGCTGTGAAAGCGATAACTCTAGTTAGCGAAGGACGTAGCCAGCGACATGTGGCTAATTTGGTAGGAGTGAGGTAGGCCTGGGTAACACTGTGTTGAGTTGTTGCCGCTCTCTGAGTTAATGAGTTATAGCTCATCGTTTAGTGAGTTATAACTCATTTGTTAAAGCGGAATAAAGCTTTCGGAGACCAGAGACTGGGATTTTAACATAAAAAAAAGTCATCAACAAGGTTTTACCACTTTGTTCAAACAACATTTTTTATAAGTAACGTTTTTCAGCAACGAAACTGAGTTACTGCGCCGCTGCGTTCGGTTGGCGCACCAAGCCATATGCGGAGCATTGCGCCAACTCCTAAAAATTCACTGACTTACCCAGGCCTAGAGTGAGGCAATCAACAATTAGCCAAACTGTTAAACGTTTCAATGAACTTGGAAATTACTGTGGAGCCGAAGGGCAAGGTCGTAAGAAGTCTACAGATACCAGAGATGAGCGATATCTTATATAATTTGCTTTACGAAACAGACGTTCTACTAGTTTAGAGCTAAGCAGAGCTCTAGCAGCTCGTAATGCAATAATTTCTGCACGAACGGTTATGAGAAGGCTCAATGATAGAGGATTCAACAGTAGAAGACCGGCTATTGCAACACTGCTCACCAGAGAACATAGAGTTGCTAGACTGTGTTTTGCTAAGGAACACAGAAATTGGACCCTCGACGACTGGAAGAGAGTTTTGTTCTCGTATGAAACGAAAGTAATTCACCAGATAATAATATGCGACCGATACAGAACCATCCACTATGAAATTCTTAAGAAAAGCATGAGGCGCACAGGCAGAATGGTTAAATTGTAAGTGTCCAGGAGAAGAATTACATAAATCATGACTCATTCAACCTGCACAAGAAAATTAAAAAACAGGAATTGCAAGTTAATCGGAGACAATTAAAGACAACACCGTCATACCAGATATAAAGGAGAAATTACAAACATTACATACAGCAGCTATTTCAGGAAGACAGACCTGAACAGCATGGTTTCAAAGAGTAAATCATACAGACCATCCGTGAGTCAAAAAACGGCAAATTGATGTTGATATTCTTAAACTAGCAGAAAATAGTGTCGCCAGGGTTCTCACTGATTTATTCAACACCAAATACATCTCAGGAAGAATACCACATCCACTATACGCCTTATGAGTCATGTACTAAAACTATTTCTGAAAGTCATTCGCAACAGAATATATAAAAAGTGTGAAGAAACTGTCTCACACACACAGTTTGGTTTTACAAATGGTCTGGGAACAAGATATGCTTACTCTCTTTAGCATGCAAGTGCTGATTTATAGTGTACCATTAAATAACATCTACTGCGCTTATTACTGAGAAGTTCTTCTGAGGATCTGGAATGGTTACTAACAAGAAATAACCAGGCTAGAAATGCCAGTGGTTTAACACTAAGTTTGAAGAAGATCAAATTTATGATAGACAACAAAATATTGGAAATGTACAATTGTCAGTTGGCCAAGAAATAATAGAAACAATTGATCACTGTGAATACCTCGGATGTTACCTAAACAGTTAATGGGACATTGGTCAGCAAATACAGATACGCATTGAAAAAGCCAGAAGTGCATTTACCAAAATGAAACAGCTGCTCACGTGTAGACAACTCAATCTTAGTTTAAACTACGCCTGGCCAAATGCTACATATTTCCCATCTTGCTGTATGGACTGGGGGGATGGGCACTGTTGGATCGCCATTGCAAAAAGGTGGAAGCCTTTGAAATGTGGGTTTATAGTCGCATTCTTGCGATTTCCTGGACTGATACAGTACGAAATGCTGTTGTCTTGTTACGTCTAAATACAACGACCGAGGTCTTTCTTAAACATAGTGAAGCGACAAAACGAGAATACTTAGGATATGCTATGACGGGCGAGAATTTTTAATTTCTGTTTGTTTATGATGGATCTTATTCAAGTTCAGGTCAAGTTCGGTTATTTATTTCTTAAGAAAATTTCTACCTGAAATTCGGTACACATTTAAAAATCCCCAGCTTCAGTATTTCGAAGTTGTAACTAAACCAAGTCCTCTTTGGTTCAAAATTGACTTTGTTACTCATTTTGTTGCAGCGTAAAATACTTAGCTGCTGTAACTAGAACAGCAACATATAATATAAATTAGTAATTTTGTCGGATTTTTGTCAATATTCTGTTTATTGTTTCAGGTAAAGTGTACACAGTCATTGGGAAGCGTCGTGGCCAAGTTTACGATGCGGTTGGAATGGACGAGAAAGAAAAAATCTATCTTGTACAAGCCAAGATTCCAGTACTGGAAAGCGAGGGATTTGCGAATGAAATTAGAAAAAATAGCTCTGGCCAAGCCAATCCGAGTTTAAAGTTTAGTCACTACGAGGTGAGTTTTTATGAATAAAATGTTTTTTTTTTGGTTTCTATTACTTTATCGACAGTGTTAAGTAAGTTATTCAACTAAAAGAATAAGGATTTCTTGATTTGTTGATTCTTGAAAAATGGTTGCGTTTTTGACCAAAGAAACTGTCTATCTGGTGCATAAACAATCGGAAGCGAATAAGAAATTGTTAGTAAACAAAACAGCTATGCACCAGTGAACCATGACATGATTTTTCTTCGCTTAAAATCTCGATTGGGATGCATCCCAATTCACGGGTCTATTACGAAGATTTACTTTTTATCGTTCGACGATGTTTTTTCTTCCGTTTGGACAGTTCCATTTAACCACCTGCGCATTTAACAGATTTTTTACGATCAAGTGAAAACCTCAGCTCTTGTATGGGCACGTGATTAAATGATACATCATGCAGTTTTTGTGATGGAGCGAAAAATAATGGACAGCTTGTACAGTGGCGGCTCCTATTTTAGATAGTTCAATGGGTCAAGATTTTAGTGGTGGTTTTTAAGGAGAATTTTTCTTAATCAACAATTTTTGATTTGTCGTCACATTAAGTGTAGAAGTCACATCAAGTAAAATTTTCTAAATATTGGTAAAACTCTAGGCTGCACTTTGTTCTTTTTGAAAACCTGTTTTTTTATCAAGTTCTGAAGCATTTTATAGCAACCACCTCTGAAGACTACTTGAACTCGCGCTTGCGAAACGCCCGGAAGCATGAGTTTTAGACAATGACCGCAAAAGCTTAAATCTTCGACAAAACGCTATTTATTGCCTCTTGGTATATATTAACAATTATTTTCTTCTGGCTATCTACTGTTCGTTCATTTGGTGTGTAATGTTCCAGACTTCAAGTTCCTTTTGCGCTTAACTTTACCTTTTCACTATCTGTAACATTAAGCAAATGCCCCATGAACAGAAGTAAAACTTTTCTTTAAAGAATGAGTTAAAACCAGAAAATCATTATACTTTGATTCTTAAAGGAATCCAGCTTGCTTTCTAGATAGAAATACGCAATTAAACCTTCATTGAATATGTATTGAAAACATTTCAAACTCTATTAAAATGTGGATGAGTAGAATATATTGACCTCCCCAGCTTGTAGCTCGTTTGTTTCTTAAAAAAGTCATTCGAAAAGTAAGAGCGTGGTGTTGTCGGACGTTTGATAGATTTTCAAGCGTTTTTTGGATAACAAAATTAACCTTTTAAGAAAGTTGATTTTGTTGCAAAAATGACCAAAACAGTCCATTTGGAGTCACTTGAATTTTGCTTTTTCTAGAGCTTGTAGCTCGTTGCTGTTCGAGCTTGTAGCCCCAAAAGTCAGAAAGCGAAACTATTGATAATTTAATGGCTTTTGAGGTGTTTTTCACTTTTGAAAATCGGTGCATTTATAGGCAGGATATCATCAAAAATGGCTTTTATAAAAGTGTGTCTTTTGTTTTAAAAAATTGTCAAATGGTCCATTTAGCGTCTGCTTGGGTAAATTCCGCCACTTATAGAGCTCACAACTCATTGCTTTTGCACTTACTGCAAAAGACAAAAAGCTCTTTATCAACGCTGAGCAGGCTTTGTTTGAAAGCTTTACCATTTGGCTCCTTCGACAGATAGAGAGCCGATATTTGTTTCTAAGCGTAGAGTGTGCTTGATTCTTACCAGAACTTCTTCGGAAGCCTGAGGAGATTTTGGGAATTTCTCAAATCAGGTGCACTTCCAACTCTTTATGGCAATGTGCAGGCCCTGTTTCAAAACTTTACTACTTGGCTTCTTCGCAAGATAGGTGCTGTGTAGGCTCTGTATAAACTATTGAGAATTTAACGGCATTTAAAGTCTCTGGATTTTTCTAATTTTGGAGTGCTTTTGGTACTTTTAGAAGACCGAAGGTGAGAAATCAACGAGATTGTAGCTTGTTAATTTTTCGTTAAAATTCAAAACGCGTAACTGTCGAAAATTTAAATATAATTAATTAATGAATTCAAAATTATTTTAAAACTTTCAATGAGATAATTTGGTAGTGGAGTAAATGCTGACCAAAATCATCTGTCGAGAAACAGTTTTGCAGGGAATATGAATCGTTACGTGACATTGAAGAAAGTGCAACCTGAATTTTTCTATATATTTATTTGCTTCTAAATGGATTCGCAAACTGTTTTATTTCACAAGGCAGCTTTTTGGTGTTTCGTATGTGATTATCTTCTGCCTGGATTAAAATCGCCGCTCAACCAATCAGCGTCAGAGCCAGCTCCCTCAACTCCAGCTAATTGATAAAATGTTTTTAATTGCGTTGCGCTGTAAAAAGTGAAAACCGTTCTCACCATTAGCGCAGCCTTCATCTCCTAGATTTGCGCATCGTTTTCCAGGGCTAAATCCACCACTGATCCAATCACTATCAGATCCTGCACCCGATACTCCGCCTGAGAGTTACGTGGAATGTTTGTAAAAAATATGTATATATTTAAATAAAATTGCCCACCAGTAACGCATCCTTCGTCCCCTAAGTTGGCACATCGTTTCCCTGGGCTATAGCCTCCATCAATCCAGTCGGTATCTGCAGCAGCCCCAGGAACTCCACCTAGTAATTGAAACCAAACTCACTGAAAGTATCTGTGCAATCAAACTGGTTACCATTAGCACAGCCTTCATCTCCTAAATTGGCACAACGTTTGCCAGGGCTGAATCCACCCCCAATCCAGTCACTATCTGAAGCAGCACCAATCACTCCACCTGGAATTAATACAATAAAGGTTTTCTCCTGTCCAAGCAAAGGATTTGGATTTTTTGCCTGTAACACAGCCTTCATCGCCAAAGTTAGCGCATCTTTTTCCGGGGGTAAAACCACTGGCCAGCCAATCACTGTCGGAACCTGCTCCTTGAACTCCACCTAAGCAACATTTAAGGTTGCAAAAAATTATCAAATGTATAATAATATAAAAGAGTTAGATTGCGTGATGCTTTTACAAAATTCTACCACGCTGACCATAACTCGTTTTTGCTTTTAAATTACCGAATTTTAAATTCTGAAAACTTACCTGAAAGACACCCATCATCCCCAAAGTTGGCACATCTCTTTCCAGGGTTGTACATAGTTAGTAGATGCTTTCTGGGATCTAAAATTGTCGTTTGACCATACAATTTTATATAGTGTATTTTATTTTACAGCTTTATATTTAGTGAATCGCAATCGAATGTTGTAATTCGTACCATTCAAGCAGCCTAAAGGTCCCATTCTTAAACATTCTCGTTTCACTTCTTGATAAACTTGCTTCTCTCGAAGCAGTTGATTTATTAGAGCTGCTAATTGTTCTTGCTTGAGTGAGTTTGAAGTCTTGTGGTAGACATTGGGCACACTCATTGCTGCTGATAGTGCCACGCTTATGGCTAGCAGAGTTATGATTCGGTTCATTGTTGCTAAAGTCGGTAAAACAGGCTAGCAACCGAAATGATGAAAAGCTGCTGTTAATTCGTCGGAATGTGAATATCAGAAAATATTACCTAAAGTTGATAAACCCGATTTCAACTCTTTCGACGGTGAACTGAATACCGATGCAACAGCTTTCTGTCTTTATATAAACCCTTATCATCATATTAATGAAATATTCGGAATCGTTAATTATATAAAGACATATGGATAGACTCTTTTATCAATTATAACCCCGGATTTCCGATTATATATCGCCGTAATTCCCATATTTGCTAAAATAATTAATACCTTTGCCTGTTTATCCTTTCTCTAGTCCTATTCAATTTTGTTTGTTCAGCTACCCATCAATGATCATATTTTGATTGATTGATCAACTTTTACTGAAATTACGCTTTTGTTGATTAGCACGATAGAAGGATTAGGAAAATAAGCTATTTATGTATTGCATATAATAATATTAAATTCACATTTGCAAATATATCGGCAAATCCTCAATTTCGATACAAATAAAAACATTTAGAGTGATATTGTTAGCTTGAAGTAATGCGTGTAACTGCAATGAAAGAGTCAGATTATTGAACATGTGCTTTTAAAAATAACTTAATTACAACAATAAAGAAACTATTGGTTTGTCATATTGCAGTCAGACGCTTTTAAGTTTTTACTTCTGGTTTTATTCTACAGAATTATAAATGTTATGTTGATAATTAATTAGTGTTATTATCACAATCAGTTTTAATTGCTTATAATAATATATTCTGCGAAACAAAAAACCTGAAATGTTTGCATTCGGTTGCGTGCAGTTAAAAATTTTGTATAAAAATTGTAAAGATTCTGCGTTGTAAAGTGGTTGGGAGTCAAGTGCGTAAGAATAAAAGGGAAAAAGCGTTCCTTTTTTTTTCGAGTCTCATTCTTTATAAATTGAACTAATTTAGAGACTCAAAATAATCATGTTTCAATTTTTCATAGCCTATATCTCGAAAATGGTTGGTCTGGGTTTCCACCCAGTATACATTTTTGCTCAAAATTTATAGGAAAATTAACAGAATCGTACTCAATTTTAATTTGATGTAAATTCTCTTTAACATGTTGCAATATTCAATTTCTTATTCCTGAAAAAATTACTGAAAATTTGTATATAAAAAATTACGCATTTGTAGACTTTCTAGGGAAAAAGAGTATTTTCTGATTATCAAAAAAATATTAAAATATTGCACACTAATTTGTTTACACCCTGTATACAGAAAATATACGAAGTGTTTTTAAATTGATATTATAAATAGTTTCAAGAAGTGTAAAATAAGGAAAAATATTCAGTGAGATTTGCGAATACACAGGCTATTATTAAAATGTAAGAACGAAATCACTTTAAGCAATCACAGAGGATGATGCAGATTGTTTTTCGAAACACCCAAGTATTCATCAGATATTTTCTATTTGAATGTGGAATTATTTCCATAACAATTATAGAAAGACGCAGTTATACGATAAGCAGTACATTATTTAAAAAAAAGAGAATCTGTGTTGCGTCATTGAGAATACTCGAAATTCATGGTTTATAAAATTCTTATTTAATTATTTTCTGTTTGCTTATTTTGTGAGTTTCAATTTTTTATTTTCACATTAAAACCTCCGAAAAGAGACGGAGAAATAGACGAGTGCGTTTAAGGGAACCTAAGAGGGATGAAAAAGGTTTAAAGAAAATCAGTGTTTATGTGTACCTATGCATTGGTTTTAGTTATTCATGTTGAAATTGTGGATTTCATAATTCTGTAATTTAAAATCAACTTTCATCGTTCGAGTTCATTACACATATACACGTGGAGTGTAAAAACTAAATATACAACAATATTACTTCATCAGGCAGTTGATTAAGAGCTTGCAATCTTCTAGCGTTTAAAATAATGTATAAAAGTTGATATGTTTATTGAGTTGGTTTGATTCTACAGAGAAAATGAATGGTAATTTGCTTTATAAAGTAAATTTTAGAAAAAAAGGACATTAATGTATATCGGTGGAACCACCTGAGGTGTGATTCACGTCATTCAAGTATGGACTATTAGGTAATAAAGGCTGTTTTTTCGGAATTAAATTTATGAAGCGTATTACCATTGACTTTTAGATATCCAAACATGTTTACACAGTAAAATATTCGAATATAATCAAAGAACAGTCTGTATATTTTTTGGCTCAAGCGGTCAATGCCAAAAATAAATAATATTAAGTTATATTGTTTGCTTTTAAATATTTTCATCCGAGCAAAGCCAAATTTCTAAAGTAACATTCGCTATCTAAAGTTTACTTCTTTTAAATCCTGATAACGTTTAAAAGATAAAAGCGTGCAATTAAGGAAAAGGAAAATAATAAAAGTTTGCTTGCAGACTATTAATTATACGAAAAACTGAAGAGTGCGAAAATAGTTTCTGAGAAAAAAGTAGTACCACGTAAGGTAACATAAGGCCAATAGAAAAAAGGAAAATAAAGATTATTCAGTTAGTGCTTAAAACATTAAAGTTTGAAATGAAGCAATTGTTTTGGTCACTTTCGAAAGAAATTGTTTAGAAGAAAAAAAGAACATAATTTTAAGCAAGAACTTGAAATTGAAAACCTTCTTTCATGTGAGCAACTTGAATATTTGGTCGATTGGGGTGATTTTAGAATTATTTTCTTGGATAATAATGTTAGCGGTTAATTACCATTTTAATGTTTTAAATGTATTATAATTAGCAAAGATATACTTGCATTTTCTAGAAAAATGTTGCCTATAATCGGTTTGAAACTAGACAAGTTAAGAGATTTGAGGAAATGAAACAGTTTCCAAGAAATCATTGGGAAGTCAGCCGACGACCTTTAGAATTAATAATATATTTATCTAATTTTTCCCGATCAAGCAGTTTACATCTTATCAAACTGCCACTTGCTTGCTGTTGAATCTACACTTTTAATGCTTAGTTTTCATAACATATATTTTATTTTTACCTAATGGTTTACTTCTACATATTTTCATGTCATTTATTTGTTCCAGGTAATTGATGCAGATCCATTCGTTGAGGTCGTTCAAGAAGATGATGATAGCGACGATGAGTCTGAGATGAAAATGGATTGCGCTTTGCGAGCCAATAAGCTGAGAAAAGATATGAGGAGGCGTAAAGGGCTTCAAGTTGAAGATGAAGTTGTGGTGCACGCGGAAAAGCAGCGCACTTTAAACAAAAAGAAGTAGTTGACACAAATTTGTATATTTCGTTATTTATTGTTCGTCGTTTTTTAAGTATTTTTGTGATATGCGAAGAAACTAAACTATTTTCTGTTCTTTGATTTATTTGAACCGAACAAATAATTTGCTTTGGGGTGCTATGTTAGCACAGTTACTATCAGCCAAAATCAAGTAGATTCTGCTCATTACTTCTTAGATATGCCACTACTTGACTACTTGATCTGAATTATAGACATTTGAGTTGCCGTTTCTTCTCATAGCCGTAGTTAAAGCCATGTTTTGAATAGAAATTTAAATTTTAAATCAATAGAATGTAATAACATACGTCGATTTTTTTTTACGTAAACCTTCGCTCGCTGTTATTTAACTTTGCGATAATTTTTTGGATGTTAGTTGTAAGGATTTTATGTATACATCGATATTTTTTTACATGAAGTCGTTATTTTAATAAAGCTATTTTTTTCTGTAATAGGCTGTTTTTTTAACTAAAAGTAGGTCTATTTTATTAAAATTTTATTTTACAAAATCACGAGTAACAAGTTTTAAGGTAGAACAAATTTATTGAACAGTTTCTTGTTTCTTCGCGCTAGGCTCGGTGGCACTGGGGGTTTCAGGGCTGAATTCCTGACCCTTGGGTGGACGGGTTAGCACTGTATCAATCAAACCGAACTCCTTTGCTTCTACTGGACTCATGAACTTATCTCTTTCCATGTTTTTTTCAATTGTCTCTAGTTCAAGACCAGTGTGTCTGACATAGAGTTGATTGATTTGGTTCTTCAGTTTTATGATTTCTTCAGCTTGAATTTGAATGTCAGTTGCTTGTCCCTGAAAATAAGACATTAATGTTTTTGTCCATTGGAAACCTGCCGTTTATACCTGAGCTCCACCGGATGGTTGATGGATCATTATTCTGGCATTTGGTAGAGAATGCCTCATTCCTGGTGATCCAGAAGCTAGAAGTAAGGACGCCATACTGCAGGCTTGCCCCACGCACCTGCAAGATGTTATTCAGTTTTTTGGGTCTATTTACAATGGAAAAACTTCTTACCAAGTAGCTATAGGTGGTGCACAATATTGCATAGTGTCGTAAATTCCTAAACCTGCAGTGACACTGCCCCCAGGAGAGTTAATGTACATGTGAATGGGCTTATTTGTATTTTCAGCCTGCAGGAATAGGAGCTGCGCCACAATGAGTGAACTCATTGTATCGTGAATGGGCCCCATTAGGCAGATGATTCTTTCCTTCAGCAGTCTTGAATAAATATCATATGAGCGTTCTCCTCTGCCTGTTTGTTCCACTACAATGGGAACAAGACCGATATTCCTAGCAGGTTGCTTGCGAATTTTTGGAAATTTCAGCAATTGCTAAAACAATCAAAGTCAAATTTTACAATCAAAAGTGAGATAAATTGTGATACCTTGACACATGTTCGTAGGTACCTAGAATTCATTTTATTAGTATTTAGCTAACTTGCGGTGTTTATAAAAGATGTTTCTAAGGGATTTTTGAATTTCTGTATCAAACTGAAAATTAGGTTAATATTTGATGTTTGATGGTTTGTGTACAAATCACAGATTTCTCTCTTGTGCGTTTGGCCAGCGCGACATCTATTGGTGATCATTTTTTATTTCCATAATTTTTTTAATTATTGTTGTTGAAATGCTACTGAATTTGGTGGAATGTTTTTTATACATGTTTAACTCGACCCTGGGGGAAGCATGGATTTGTCTAATTTATTAAATTGTTTAATTCTTGAACTCAGTTGTGTCGCGCCCTCTATCGACAGAATCCGCAAAACATGTTTTCATCGATGCCAAACATTGCCGATTTTCTTCTAAAAATATGTTTTAATGTTAAGAAATACATATAGGCTCTATCCCTCCCGTATTTTAAGAAAAAAAATTAATTTTCTGATAGTTTCGAGCCCTGTTTGCATTGTGTATTTGTGCATAGCCGATAGTGGCAAAATGCGGTTGCATGGCATGGTGTTTAATATTGTATTAAGACGAATTTAGACTTAACTACTGTTGCAACATGGCAACGCGGCTTTCGTATGTTAATGTTTTTTAAAAATTGTGTAAATATTTGCTAGCAATAAACCTACGTCTGTAGAAAAGTGTACGCATTGGTATTTCTTGCTGACGAATGTGAATAATCTCCGTATTGTTTTGTTACTTTCGTCGGTTTTTCGCGCAAAGTTCGGCTTGCCGTGTATCCATTTTTTAGTAAACGGAGCAAGATTGCGGGCTGGTATTAATGATTATGTGATAAGTGAATAATTTATCAAAGCTGAAAGTAGTAAGCAGTGCTTACAAACCACCCAACATGTTGAAGATGCCACTATTTGGAAGAGACCGGAAGAAGAAGGAAAACAAGGAGGATAAACTGGCTATAGAAGAAAAATACAACCTAAAGGATGTTTTGGGAACGTAAGTTCAGTAATTCATTTTTTTAACGCAATACGGGTTTCTCCAAGCTGGAAAGTTTTGCACATTGTTTTTACAATAGTCAGTTGGCTTAACAGCAATGTGTGAGATTCAGTAAACACCGATGTTTTCTGGATTTCATTTAGGCTAGTTTTCTGATATAAAATGTATTAATAATTTTCACTGCTAAAAGATGACAACAGTTTCAAACCAATCTATCTAAATACAGTAACACTACAATATGGTACTGTGTCTACAATCTCTAAATTATTTAAAGATTCATAAATAATTCCTACAAGTAAACACAAAAACAACTGTTCACAGAACAGAACGGTAATAGATCGACTAAAACATGCACAGGACATATGTTTTTATTTAATAAATCAACGCTTATTCGTCCTTCAAATTGTAGTACATATTCAGCTTGTTTTTTTAAATTTAACTTTAACTTTGTTTTTCGTACAATTTATCATTTAATATTGGATTTATTTATTCTGCACCTGACAGAATACTACATCAGTCAGACTTAACGTCTGACGTTTTACTGCCAAATTTCAATTGAACTTTTATCGCTTAATGTAATCCTTTTTGCCCTCATATTGCTATATCTTCAACATTTTTCAGCTCCGTTAAATGCTTATGACTCTCGTGATATAAACGTGTATTTCCAAGTACCTACATAGCTACGTGGCAAATCTCATCAAAAGGTAAAACATGGTTTTGCTTCAAACCATTTTTTCGTAGAAGCCCTGAAAAGTGGAAAATATTGGGAATTGGTCTGTTGTAGTATTTAGAAAAATACTGAGTCGAGCACCAAGCTTTTAGACATTTGGATTTATTGCTCAGAGGTGAACTCGGAGGAATTTTTTCGAGGAATCGAAGGGAAAAGTACGAATCAAACTCTGAGGAAAAAATGAAATGTCCGGAATGCTTGGTCCTTAGATTTTTTTCCTGAAGTTCACAACAAACCGATTCTTTATCTCTCACACTTTTGGTAGTCTTCAGGAAACGTTTTTTGAATCAAAATTTTCAGACATTTGATGCTCTTCTTCAGTGTTTAACTCGTGCTTCGAGGCACGAAGTAAAATGACTTGAGAAGTTGTTTTTCTGCTTTCAATCAATTGTAGAAGATAGGAAATCGGTCTGCTGCGGTCCTTAAGAACACTTCGACCTCGAGTCGATTACCACCCTTAAAATATAAGATAAATAATAATCAGGAGGGCAATAAAGTATCCGAAAGCTTGATAATCGACTCAGTTGTTTGTGAGCAATTTTTTCAGACCACAACACACTGTTTCTCTATCCTTCATACTTTTAGTAGTCTTCAGAAGAAGCCTTCAAATAGATTATCAAAATGTTGGCCATTATATTCCCATTCCAGGAATTCAATCGTGCTTCTTCCCTTCGTTTTCTAAAAAAAAAACGCGACTTAAACCCCGAGGAACGAGTAAAATGTTCGAAATATTGGAAAAAATTCAATTCGTTCTTCAAGTCTAAAATATAGGGTAAATAACAATCGTCAATTAAAAATTATAAAGTAAACAAAACGTTACAAACAGATCATCATTTTTTAAAATTGAGTCATCAATTTTAAGGTACAAAGTTCCTGAAAATGGAAATAAAATGTCCGGAAGCTTGATAATCAACTCACAAGTTTCAGTCTGCTGTGGTCTTAAACTTTAATTTCGTTCTTTAGAAGTCAATTAAAAATAAATAAATGCTCCGAAAGATTCAAATTAATTAACATTTTTTAAAAACACAGCAATTAATGTTAATGTCAAGATCAAAGCTTTCAAGGCAGCACAACGCGCCGAATTCGATATAAGCCACAAAGAGCCGAATAGAAGCATATTTTCAAACAAACAAATAGAAAAATATATTTTGTTGATTTATTACTCTAGAACTGAAACTTATTTCAAGAAAGAACAGACGAACTCAAACACTGTTCACATTGATTTTTTTTTCTCAATAACAAGTACATAAGTAATACTTTTAGTGGCAAAACGAATTCATATTTCCAGTTGCTTTTTGATTCGCTTTTTTGCTCAAATTGTGAAAATTGAGAAACAGAAGCATTACACAGTTGCTTTGCTGCTAATGTGTTATTTTTGCTCATTTATTCGCTTATTTAATGGTCTTTACAGCTTTCCCTGTGTGCGAACAATTAAATTTTTTATTACACAAGGAATTATACTTTTTTCCTATTTACAATTTAATTGCGTTTTGTTTTTGTGAGTTTATTGCTAGTTCTGTTTTCTGCTTTAAAGGTAATTATAATATTGAATCTTCCTGTCTGTTTGTTCAAATTATTCTGAATACAAAGCAGGATTTGTATTTTGTCGCTTGTGAATTTTCAAATTTATTTCAACAATTATTTTACTCCTGTTATCATTTGATAATCTTCGTTTTAAGCCATTATTGAACGATTTTAATTCAAATTTAAATACATTTCATGATTTCCAGATTTAGCAAACATTGTTTGCTCTAACGCTCAAAATGTAGACATTTATAATAATAACAAACAATACTTAATATTGCCACATGTTCAGTGTAAAGTGTGAATTGTTCGTTCCAATACGCAATCGACACAGATGGCAAATAAAAATCCTTTCAGTTATCTACAAATAATATACCGTGTGTGGTCACATGGTCAAAAGTGTTTTTTTGTTTTTTTTTGGAAATTTTATATCTGTAATAAAGCAAAAGTAATAAGCAAATTTGTAAAAATCATAATTAAAGCGATAAAAAACGTATTGTTCTGGAAAATCATATAACCAAGACTATTGTGAAAACAGTAGTTTTTTTTAAATAAATTTGCCAATTGGGTTGCAATTTGATTAACGAAGTACGCCCACGTTAAAGTAAAAAATATTTATGTTTTATATTATTTGAAAAGGATTTACATTGTTTGAATAGCGAATTAAAATAAAATTATATAGTGCATTGTTGTGCAAATTGGTGAAACCTCATTATGAGTACTGATAAAACATTTTCACATTAAATTGAAATTTTAGACATTGCGCCACGTTTGTCGATAATGAAAATAATCAAAATGTATATTTAAAAGGGAATTGATGTGATGCTGGGATTATCGTAGTTGACGAGAAAATAAAATTAAAAAGTGTGGAAGAGAGATATTGATGAAATTTATAGATTTACAGCAACTTTCGGTTTAAAAGTTAAATCAACAAGCCTTTGCTTGCAGCTTTTTAAAATGTTTAAATAATTTAAAAATTATCAGCAACTATTTAACGTTACTTAATACATATTTGAATATGGTGGCAGTTACATCGAATAAAAAAATGTTATAAATTAATTTAATACCTATTAATATTGCATAGATTATTTGCTATTATACAGTTCAATGTGAAACAGTTTTTAAATATCAACGGCTTATTTTGGTTTTATTGCGGTGCGCCAAAGACAATTTTGTTATTAAAAAAAATACGCTTTATTAAAGTTTATTTTTCATAATTCTATAACACTGAATCAAGTCGTTTATTGCATAGCAGAATTCAACCTTCAAACGCCGTTTCTTCTCTTCATCTATTCTGGGATACCGTATTTATTGAAACATTATAAATTAGTTTGCAATGTATAATTAATCACATATTTAAGTAGAAAACCTTGCAGACGTGTTATTGACAAATGTTTTTGATGTGTGTAAAAATTAAATTAAATTTCATTTAGTCGTCAGATGCTTTCCACCTGGCATCACCACTCTTGAATATTCATAATGTATAAGTATTAATATGTTAATATTAAGAGATATTCTGACGTTCAGCATCTATAATTCACAAATTCCTGATAAATATTGTCGCCTTGCAGGTTTAAAGTAAGGATTTGAAAATAAAAAGCAATTTGTCAACGGCAATTTTGCCTAAACAAAGACCATATTCGTATAAACAAAATAATTGCCTAGTTGAAAATGTCGATAAGTTTTAGATTTTTATGTGAGTTTGAGCGTGTAATTGAATAGAATTGGTGTTTCTACAACCTTAATTAATTGCAATCCTAGAAATTAGCTGGTGCATGAATTTGGTTTCCCCTACTTATTATAAATAGAAACGGTTTTTCTATCTTTTCTGGGTTTTGAATAGAACCATTGAACGTTTTCAAATTACCACTCTGTATAATACGGTTGGTTTGCGGTTGCTAAAAACATTAATAAAATGTTTTTTATGGCTTTCAGTAACAAAGAAACAAATTGGAAATTTTAATCAACTCCAGACACGTTAAGAAAATTGGTTGCTTCTTTATTACAAGTTTTTTTTCAAGAACGTTATTTGTAGTTGCTACATAAATGACAACAGTTCTATTATTTCCATGAGTAATTAAGCTGAGTGGTGTTTTGCATGCTAATTTTATTTTTTTTAACCAACTTATTACATAACATCATAATATGTGTACTAAATAGCACCTGTCCACGCAAACTCGCCGCGTTATAATAAGGCAAATTGCTTTTATTTTCACACAATTTTTTTATCTATTTATCTATCTATACAGGGTGATTCACAACCTTATGTACACAGAGTAGCACAGAACGGAGTGTAGCGGACCACAAAGCAAGTCGAGTGTTAAAGTTTTAAAAAAATATTGGTATTTTATCTTTAGCTCCTACAGTTTACGAGATATTTTGCTCAAATTTTGAACATATGCTACTGTTTCGACTCTTTTACCCGTAGGTACCAAGCCTGGGTAATACAAGTGTCTTAAGACACTTGTGTGTTGATGCCGCTCTATATGTCCATGTGCCGCGACAAATGGCCTTTCACGATGCGGCACTTTGAACAACACTAACATTTAATCTCATTCAAGATGGCAAACTTCCGATTGCGGTTCGTGAAGGCCACGCGCAGTTACCATATGGTTTCTGACGCCTCTCGGCAGGGATTATTTACGTGATAAAGCCGCACGAACGAAAGTGCTCAAAATACTTGACTACTGATTACTGATGAATTCTTATTGATGTCGGATCGATGGCTCACAAGGAAACTGATGCGTGCCATTTACGAGACGTAAGATTTGACAAACAAACCTCCAGCCGAAAGTGGCAGAGCCTACTATGATAAAATAAATAACTCGATAATGAAGGCAGATACGAAAAAACTACAAAAGATTTTAAAAAATCTTAAATTGGACAACAAATTCAAAAATTTGTTCGGTCAAAGTCAGTGGCGCACCACAAAAACTTCGCGGGGTAAAAAGGGGGTATAACACTAGAAGAAATTGCCATGCATATTTTCGCAACCATGTAGCTTACCTACGGGTAGAGGGTCTAAACAGTAGGCTAACTTAAAAATTTGAGTAAAATATCTCATAAACTGTAGGAGTTAAAGAGAAAATTCCAATATTTTTTTAAAACTTGTATCTCCACACCCTGTCTCCTTAACCATGAGCCTGAGAAAAATATCTTTATTGGCAACTCGACTTGTTTTGAGGTCTTCTACACGCCCCTGCTCTGTGTCCGTAAGGTTGTGAATCACCCTGTATATCGGTTTATACATTCTACGATGTCTTCCGATTTCCATTTTCTACCTGTTCCCTGTCGATACCTTCTCTCCAGCTCTTTCTCGGTCT